ATCTGTCTGTGTGTAGTACATGTATCGTGGAACTATATCTGTCTGCATGTTTAGTACATGTATCCTATATCTGTCTGTGTGTATAGTACATGTATCGTGGAGCTATATCTGTCTGTGTGTATAGTACATGTATCGTGGAACTATATCTGTCTGTGCACTAATAACAGTCATTATGGTGATAATGTTGAGGAGTTGGAATATGTGATATTTTTATATGTGATGGTTAGGGGAGAGAGAGAATTCCTCCCTTTTCCCCCCTAATTTAGGCCACTAGTGATGAAACTGTTTCCACCTCATTCACCTTGGTAGATATAAAAGAGCCTTATAGAACTGTTATATAGGTGTTGCATATCTTAAAACATACGTCTCCCTACAGGTGGAGGCCTACTGGTGCTTCCGCAACTACCTAGACCACATACAAGAGGAATTCACAGAGGAAGGCATGATGAAAAAGATAGGTGAGTTACCTCCCTTCCTTGGTCGATGAGGTCATACCAGTGATACCTGTGTAGGCTTGTTGGCATATGTGTCACTTATTTATTGCCTATAATCATAATTATTAATTACATTGTAAGCTGTACAATGATAAGGTTGTCTTGCCTGGTGCTTGTTTAACCTTTGACCTTTATCTGCTGTAGACCTGGTGGTGATGTTACTACGAGAGATGGACACTGAACTGTTAGACCACCTCAACAAACACGACCTTGGTGACCTCATGTTCTGTCACAGGTAAAACAAAATATCTATCACCTCATGTTCCTGTCACAGGTAAAAATATCATCTCCAACTCCATGTTTCTCAAAGGTAAAACAATATCCATCACCTCCTGTTCTGTCAAAAACTGATTTTCAATGGTAACAAACACAACCACAGTGACCTCAGGATCCATTACTAGTTAAGATTTGATATATGTTACAGATGGCTGTTACTTGGGTTTAAGAGAGAGTTTAGCTTTGCCGACTCCCTCCGCTGTTTTGAAATTCTAAGCAGTCACCATCTGGAGCTCTTCTCTATGGAGGCTGAAAATGCCCGGCGCAAGGAAGTCATGAAAGAATTTGAAAATTTTGGTGGGTAACCTCCAGCAGAACTAAAATGAAATACTCATTATTATTGATTGTAGGTTTTTCAATAAGTTGGTGGAAATTTGTGTTGGACTGTTTGCCTTATACAGTGAACCATAAGATAGAAACAAACACTGCATTCTCTTGTACCTTAAGGGAATACAGTGACTTTAAATAAAAGGTATTTTTGTTAGTTTCCTATCCTGTGAATGACATTTTAGTGTATGTGTGTAGAGAATGGTACCTTCCCTAATAATGTCCTACAATTGTTTTAGCGTACATATTTCCAGGAGGAGGGACACGGTCGGAGCATCTTGCTGTCAGGATGGACTACACCTTTGAGCTATTTATGTGTCTTGCCCTTCTGATGGACTGTAGGACAGAGCTGCTGAAGTGTATAGACTCCGCCATGGTGTTTGGCACCATCAACAGGTATCAGGGGATCTTCTAACCCTCTGTTACACTCGAAAATCCTTGTACAGTGAAGGAGGGATGTAGTGGGATATATTTGTTGTCGAGAGTTTTAGAATTTTGGGTTTTGCGCAAAATAATAGGAAAACAAATTAGCTGTCATGCAGGGTGTCCGTCTGTCTGAAATACTTTTCCAGATGATAACTGTAGAATGAATGACCATCAAAAGCTCTAACTTGTGTGGGCTGACCTAGAGGAGGGGGGAAGCCTATTGATTTTGGGCGTGGTAACGTCTAGGTCACCATTGTCACTTATACAATTCTGCTTTGCTAGAATTTATTTTGGTTCCGCTGATCTAGATGATAACTTAGAACAAAGGATCACGCAAAGCTCAAACTTGGTGTGTGGGTTGCATTAGTGGATATGAAGAACCTGGCTACCGATTTGAAGCATGGTCTACCAGAGGTCAAGGTCACCGTTGCTAAAAAATATAAATTTGCTTTGTTAGGCTTGTCTGTATGATGAGTTAAGACCAAATGACCATACAATGTTTGGCTTGTCTGTATGATGAATAAGACCAAATGACCATACAATGTTAGGCTTGTCTGTATGATGAGTAAAAACAAATGACCATACAATGTTGGGCTTGTCTGTATGATGAGTTAAGACCAAATGACCATACAATGTTAGGCTTGTCTGTATGAGGAGTAAGATCAAATGACCATACAATGTTAGGCTTGTCTGTATGATAAGTAAGACCAAATGACCATAAAATGTTAGGCTTGTCTGTATGATGAGTAAGACCAAATGACCATACAATGTTAGGCTTATCTGTATGATGAGTTAAGACCAAATGACCATTCAATGTTAGGCTTGTCTGTATTATGAGTTAAAACCAAATGACCATAAAATGTTAGGCTTGTCTGTATGATGAGTTAAGACAAAATGACCATACAATGTTAGGCTTGTCTGTATGATAAGTATGACCAGATGACCATACAATGTTGGGCTTGTCTGTATAATGAGTTAAGACCAAATGACCATACAATGTTTGGCTTATCTGTATGATGAATAAGACCAAATGAGCATACAATGTTAGGCTTGTCTGTATGATGAGTTAAAACCAAATGACCATACAATGTTAGGCTTGTCTGTATGATAAGTATGACCAAATGACCATACAATGTTGGGCTTGTCTGTATAATGAGTTAAGACCAAATGACCATACAATGTTAGGCTTATCTGTATGATGAGTTAAGACCAAATGACCATACAATGTTAGACTTGTCTGTATGATGAGTAAGACCAAATGACCATACAATGTAAGGCTTGTCTGTATGATGAGTTAAAACCAAATGACCATACAATGTTAGGCTTATCTGTCTGATGATTAAGACAATCAGATATAAATCATATAAAGTCTAACTTGGTGTGCTGGTAGATGCAAAGATTCTTATTGATCTTTTCTGTGGTCTATCAAGAGTCATGGTTACTAGTGGTCAAATTGAATTTTACACGTACAGAGGTTTTTCAACTTATAAACTACAAAGTTCAAAATCTGCATTTCATATGCAGACAATGGGTACATGTAACACTTCTGCATAGAATGTTTTTTGAACAGATTATACAGGTTTATACATGTATACATTTATACATACACCTTCTCGAAACAAATCCATGATGAATCGATAGCAGGGGGATACGCTGCCGCAGCGACTGTCACTAGCTTGACCAGTACCAAGTTCCATGGTGGACTTGGGCAATGGTGCTGCAGTTGTCATCTATTTTAAATCGTTATTTTCATTAAATAATTTCCCATCCCAAACTGATGAGCAGGTTTGGATATACAGGCTTCCAGCAGCAGGATGCCTGTCTGTTTGGTAGAATTGCTGAGTGGTAGAATCAGAGCTGGGGAGTTTAAGTGACAGACAAGTAAATATAATAAAAGTGATTTACAGGTTTAACCAACTTCATAATAGCATGAGACATTCTATGTTAATTATTCCAGTTACCATAAATATTTAGGAAATTACATTCCTGCAGAATTTTGGTGTAAAATATATTGGACAGTTTATATGATAATTTGAATTTGGACAAAAAATTACCATTATTATTTTTCACCAGTTTGAAGATCAATTTGGAGGAAACACTAACCAAAGCAGCAAAACTCTTCTACAAGTACTGTAAAAAGACAGTGGAGGAAAGCTTCCTGATGATTGACCCTCCTAAAACCTCCACATCAAAGAGATGACAAGGGAGGCAACTCTTGTGAAAATGATGTGAATAGTGTACTATTCAGTTATACGACCCCAGAATATCTAGTCATCAGGTCAGCTAAGCAGAGGTCACCGGAGGTTAAAAACAAAGCAAGGGACTTTCAATAGTTTGTGTCACACAATGACTGTTATCCCAAGTGTAACACAGACTTTATCTCTTGAGTGAAATTGTGTTATAAGAGTCTTATGAGTGACAAGTGTAATTTACAGGTTATCACACGAGTGACTGTGTTATATACAGCTTATCACACGAGTGACAGTGTTATATACAGCTTATCACATGAGTGACAGTGTTATATACAGGTTATCACATCAGTGACAGTGTTATATACAGGTTATCATATAAGTGACAGTGTTATATACAGGTTATCACATGAGTGACAGTGTTATATACAGGTTATCACATGAGTGACAGTGTTATATACAGGTTATCATATGAGTGACAGTGTTATATACAGGTTATCACATGAGTGACAGTGTTATATACAGGTTATCATATAAGTGGGTGTCCATTACTGTAGGTCTAACAGGATAGTGATACACTGTACCATAGGTTACACAGAGGGTGTCCATTACTGTAGGTCTAACAGGAAAGTGATACACTGTGCCATGGGTTACACAGTGGGTGTGTCCATTACTGTAGGCCTAACAGTATAGGGATACACTGTACCATAGGTTACACAGTGGGGGTGTCCATTACTGTAGGCCTAACAGTATAGTGATACGCTGTACCATAGGTTACACAGTGGGTGTCTATTACTGTAGGTCTAACAGGATAGTGATATACTGTACCATAGGTTACACAGTGGGTGTCTATTACTGTAGGTCTAACAGGATAGTGATATACTGTACCATAGGTTACACAGTGGGGGTGTCCATTACTGTAGGCCTAACAGTATAGTGATACACTGTACCATAGGTTACACAGTGGGTGTTTCCATTACTGTAGGTCTAATAGGATAGTGATACACTGTACCATAGGTTACACAGTGGGTGTCCATTACTGTAGGTCTAACAGGAAAGTGATACACTGTACCATGGGTTACACAGTGGGTGTGTCCATTACTGTAGGTCTAACAGGATAGTGATACACTGTACCATAGGTTACACAGTGGGTGTGTCCATTACTGTAGGCCTAACAGGATAGTGATACACTGTACCATAGGTTACACAGTGGGTGTGTCCATTACTGTAGGTCTAACAGGATAGTGATACACTGTACCATAGGTTACACAGTGGGTGTGTCCATTACTGTAGGTCTAACAGGATAGTGATACACTGTACCATAGGTTACACAGTGGGTGTGTCCATTACTGTAGGTCTAACAGGATAGTGATACACTGTACCATAGGTTACACAGTGGGTGTGTCCATTACTGTAGGTCTAACAGGATAGTGATACACTGTACCATAGGTTACACAGTGGGTGTGTCCATTACTGTAGGTCTAACAGGATAGTGATACACTGTACCATAGGTTACACAGTGGGTGTGTCCATTACTGTAGGTCTAACAGGATAGTGATACACTGTACCATAGGTTACACAGTGGGTGTGTCCATTACTGTAGGTCTAACAGGATAGTGATACACTGTACCATAGGTTACACAGTGGGTGTGTCCATTACTGTAGGTCTAACAGGATAGTGATACACTGTACCATAGGTTACACAGTGGGTGTGTCCATTACTGTAGGTCTAACAGGATAGTGATACACTGTACCATAGGTTACACAGTGGGTGTGTCCATTACTGTAGGTCTAACAGGATAGTGATACACTGTACCATAGGTTACACAGTGGGTGTGTCCATTACTGTAGGTCTAACAGGATAGTGATACACTGTACCATAGGTTACACAGTGGGTGTGTCCATTACTGTAGGTCTAACAGGATAGTGATACACTGTACCATAGGTTACACAGTGGGTGTGTCCATTACTGTAGGTCTAACAGGATAGTGATACACTGTACCATAGGTTACACAGTGGGTGTGTCCATTACTGTAGGTCTAACAGGATAGTGATACACTGTACCATAGGTTACACAGTGGGTGTGTCCATTACTGTAGGTCTAACAGGATAGTGATACACTGTACCATAGGTTACACAGTGGGTGTGTCCATTACTGTAGGTCTAACAGGATAGTGATACACTGTACCATAGGTTACACAGTGGGTGTGTCCATTACTGTAGGTCTAACAGGATAGTGATACACTGTACCATAGGTTACACAGTGGGTGTGTCCATTACTGTAGGTCTAACAGGATAGTGATACACTGTACCATAGGTTACACAGTGGGTGTGTCCATTACTGTAGGTCTAACAGGATAGTGATACACTGTACCATAGGTTACACAGTGGGTGTGTCCATTACTGTAGGTCTAACAGGATAGTGATACACTGTACCATAGGTTACACAGTGGGTGTGTCCATTACTGTAGGTCTAACAGGATAGTGATACACTGTACCATAGGTTACACAGTGGGTGTGTCCATTACTGTAGGTCTAACAGGATAGTGATACACTGTACCATAGGTTACACAGTGGGTGTGTCCATTACTGTAGGTCTAACAGGATAGTGATACACTGTACCATAGGTTACACAGTGGGTGTGTCCATTACTGTAGGTCTAACAGGATAGTGATACACTGTACCATAGGTTACACAGTGGGTGTGTCCATTACTGTAGGTCTAACAGGATAGTGATACACTGTACCATAGGTTACACAGTGGGTGTGTCCATTACTGTAGGCCTAACAGGATAGTGATACACTGTACCATAGGTTACACAGTGGGTGTGTCCATTACTGTAGGTCTAACAGGATAGTGATACACTGTACCATAGGTTACACAGTGGGTGTGTCCATTACTGTAGGTCTAACAGGATAGTGATACACTGTACCATAGGTTACACAGTGGGTGTGTCCATTACTGTAGGTCTAACAGGATAGTGATACACTGTACCATAGGTTACACAGTGGGTGTGTCCATTACTGTAGGTCTAACAGGATAGTGATACACTGTACCATAGGTTACACAGTGGGTGTGTCCATTACTGTAGGTCTAACAGGATAGTGATACACTGTACCATAGGTTACACAGTGGGTGTGTCCATTACTGTAGGTCTAACAGGATAGTGATACACTGTACCATAGGTTACACAGTGGGTGTGTCCATTACTGTAGGTCTAACAGGATAGTGATACACTGTACCATAGGTTACACAGTGGGTGTGTCCATTACTGTAGGTCTAACAGGATAGTGATACACTGTACCATAGGTTACACAGTGGGTGTGTCCATTACTGTAGGTCTAACAGGATAGTGATACACTGTACCATAGGTTACACAGTGGGTGTGTCCATTACTGTAGGTCTAACAGGATAGTGATACACTGTACCATAGGTTACACAGTGGGTGTGTCCATTACTGTAGGTCTAACAGGATAGTGATACACTGTACCATAGGTTACACAGTGGGTGTGTCCATTACTGTAGGCCTAACAGGATAGTGATACACTGTACCATAGGTTACACAGTGGGTGTGTCCATTACTGTAGGTCTAACAGGATAGTGATACACTGTACCATAGGTTACACAGTGGGTGTGTCCATTACTGTAGGTCTAACAGGATAGTGATACACTGTACCATAGGTTACACAGTGGGTGTGTCCATTACTGTAGGTCTAACAGGATAGTGATACACTGTACCATAGGTTACACAGTGGGTGTGTCCATTACTGTAGGTCTAACAGGATAGTGATACACTGTACCATAGGTTACACAGTGGGTGTGTCCATTACTGTAGGTCTAACAGGATAGTGATACACTGTACCATAGGTTACACAGTGGGTGTGTCCATTACTGTAGGTCTAACAGGATAGTGATACACTGTACCATAGGTTACACAGTGGGTGTGTCCATTACTGTAGGTCTAACAGGATAGTGATACACTGTACCATAGGTTACACAGTGGGTGTGTCCATTACTGTAGGTCTAACAGGATAGTGATACACTGTACCATAGGTTACACAGTGGGTGTGTCCATTACTGTAGGTCTAACAGGATAGTGATACACTGTACCATAGGTTACACAGTGGGTGTGTCCATTACTGTAGGTCTAACAGGATAGTGATACACTGTACCATAGGTTACACAGTGGGTGTGTCCATTACTGTAGGTCTAACAGGATAGTGATACACTGTACCATAGGTTACACAGTGGGTGTGTCCATTACTGTAGGCCTAACAGGATAGTGATACACTGTACCATAGGTTACACAGTGGGTGTGTCCATTACTGTAGGTCTAACAGGATAGTGATACACTGTACCATAGGTTACACAGTGGGTGTGTCCATTACTGTAGGTCTAACAGGATAGTGATACACTGTACCATAGGTTACACAGTGGGTGTGTCCATTACTGTAGGTCTAACAGGATAGTGATACACTGTACCATAGGTTACACAGTGGGTGTGTCCATTACTGTAGGTCTAACAGGATAGTGATACACTGTACCATAGGTTACACAGTGGGTGTGTCCATTACTGTAGGTCTAACAGGATAGTGATACACTGTACCATAGGTTACACAGTGGGTGTGTCCATTACTGTAGGTCTAACAGGATAGTGATACACTGTACCATAGGTTACACAGTGGGTGTGTCCATTACTGTAGGTCTAACAGGATAGTGATACACTGTACCATAGGTTACACAGTGGGTGTGTCCATTACTGTAGGTCTAACAGGATAGTGATACACTGTACCATAGGTTACACAGTGGGTGTGTCCATTACTGTAGGTCTAACAGGATAGTGATACACTGTACCATAGGTTACACAGTGGGTGTGTCCATTACTGTAGGTCTAACAGGATAGTGATACACTGTACCATAGGTTACACAGTGGGTGTGTCCATTACTGTAGGTCTAACAGGATAGTGATACACTGTACCATAGGTTACACAGTGGGTGTGTCCATTACTGTAGGTCTAACAGGATAGTGATACACTGTACCATAGGTTACACAGTGGGTGTGTCCATTACTGTAGGTCTAACAGGATAGTGATACACTGTACCATAGGTTACACAGTGGGTGTGTCCATTACTGTAGGTCTAACAGGATAGTGATACACTGTACCATAGGTTACACAGTGGGTGTGTCCATTACTGTAGGCCTAACAGGATAGTGATACACTGTACCATAGGTTACACAGTGGGTGTGTCCATTACTGTAGGTCTAACAGGATAGTGATACACTGTACCATAGGTTACACAGTGGGTGTGTCCATTACTGTAGGTCTAACAGGATAGTGATACACTGTACCATAGGTTACACAGT